CTAGCCCCGCCGTCACACTGTCAGCCTGTGCACTGAACGGGACGCCAGATGTCATTCGGGTTCCATACAATAGGAGGCTTCCCAGCTTCCCTGTTGCAAGCATTGCAGTTACCTGGGTTGTTCTGATCAGTGTGGTATTGGAGATTATGGGCACCATGGTCGACGTCGCCTACCCTTATGGCAGCCCATCTTGGCCTGCCAAGCCGTAGAGTCCGTAGGGGCTGTTCTACCAACCCGCAGGCCTTCTCGAGCGGGGGCTCAGTTAAGTCAATTGGCATCGCCATTTCCAATTCGACTTTCATTAAGACAAGTTATCAACATCCACCGCAACCGGACCCCGTATTCAACCGGCATCCGAGCGCCTTGAGCGTTCAACCCAGCGTCCAAGCGCCTCGAGCGTTCTTGAACCCAGCTTACGAGTGCACTCGCGTCTATTAGCAGTACCATCGAACCGGACTCAGACAACAACACTGTCGGAAAAGGCGAACCATACGGAGACCGTTAGCAACAGTACTATACTGACGCGATGGTGATTCAGTAGGCTTTATGACCTTCAGCATTACCTACTTGTTTCACATCATCATGTCCCATGCTTCCGGAGACGCCTCATCCAATCAGTACGTGTCATGTGCTTGATGCTGTCGTTTGCTAATGTTCGAGCTATCCATCTGATCTTCCAAATCGGACTTCTTGGCGACGAGCGACGGCCACTGTGCGGAGCCTCAAGGTTGGTCATGCAATGCGGGTGTTGCAAGGATTGCCTTGAATGTTAGCACGCCACCTCTAATTTAGGCCTATCCTGGACTCGGAGGTCGCAGAGTCGCGGTGAAAGTCGCGGACGAAAGTCGCGGAAAGACGCGAAAAGTCGCGTAACGTGCGGAGCATTGCAAGCATCTAAACCCAAAACTTGTTTGAAAACATGTTTCCTTGAAAGCTTAGTGAGGTTTTGGTGAAAGTCGCGAAGATCGCGAAACAAAGTCGCGGAGCAGTCGCGTAAAGTCGCGAAGAATCGCAGAAAGTCGCGCGACGTCGCGGGCAACTCTGGCAACCTCCGGGTCCAGGATAGGCCTTAATTTCAGCTTGTTCATTGCTTCATATAACTCATCCTTGCCATCTTTTCAAATTAGCTGGAAAACCCAGCGACCCTGATAATGCATCACTACGACTTCCATTCATATAATGCATACAACTATACAACGCATCATGTAGTTTAAACCCCGTTTAACGTTTTGCCAATGAACATGTTCCGCTCTAGTTACCGAGCCCAATCAAATGCCGAGCCTATATCGCATGACATGGTCAACGCGCAGTTAATTGCGGGATGACAGCAAGGTAGGCTGCGGCAATGTCAGAAGTCTAGTATGATCGATCTTGCATATTGAAAATGGCCGCGCGCTTCTATAAGTGTCCATGTTGCTAATGAGTCTAATGGGGGCGGCGCTGCCAGCGGACTGGCATGAGAACTTAGCTTCGTCAAGTGGTATTTGTTGATTGTCGCATGACAATGCTCTCGTCCGCGCTCACTTCACCATGCGTGCGCCACGGCGCGCATGGCCAAATACATATGATCATGATCGATCATGATCATATGGCCGCGCCGCGGTCACTCCTAGAAGCGTACCCTGCACATGGGCCGCTCGAACATAGATCCGACTATACATGCATACTTTCCGTCGATAAGTCAAGCGTGCGCCGGCGCGTCTTTTACGTAATCTCTCCAATTAACCAATCTAGTACGTTGACCCATGGTATAACGTCCGACTGGTCAGATCTGATGCACAGAAGACTAGTATGAGGTTACCTTGTATACGGCCAGCCCAAGGCTTGTTTTCATAACGCGTTCGTATGGTACAGACGTACGGACGGTACTCGTGTTTGAATGAGTCGGAAGCTTTGCTAATTCGACAAATATACCATGACAAGTATCGTTGAATCTAAATTGCAACTGCCGAACAAGCAGGCCGGGCTTGGACAGCCCCTGGACAGTTCCGAGCAAAATAGTGCATTACGATTGACCTTCGTGATCAAGTATACATGTCAAAGCCGCAGTTCATCGGTACACCGGATCTACCGATCGATATTTTGCAACGGTCTGTACAAATACTTGGTTTTTCGCTTAGTTTATTAATCCTCTGCAACACTTGCGAAACGATGGTTCTGACGTCGAAACTCTCGGAACCCACTCTCAAAGCAATTCAACCACTTCCAGTCCAATCAAATACTCCCGAAGCTCTCGGGCCCTTTCCGTTCCTTGCCAACAAAGAATGTATGTAAGAACAGAGATCACCTCACCTCACGAGCATTGGTTGGCTCCGCTTTATTTGTTGACAAATTTACCCGTACCTTTCATTGCCCTCTGCTCAGTGCTGAACACATCAGTTTACCCCGTTTGCTGCCGCGGCCTACCTAGCATGCGGTGCGGGTCAGGATTCGGAGACGTAGGACTTGCTGGCCAGGTAGGCCGCCTCGCTCTTTTGTTTCTTCTCGTTACGGGCCTGCACACACAAGTACACTCTGTTAGCGGCAGCCAGCATCCACGCCGGGACGGCAGGGCCCACTGCTGGATGCTAGAATGACAAAGCACACCGCTGGAGGCAAGATTGGGGGTAAGGGAGGCGCTCACCATGTAAGACTCGTGGTTGGCCCATATCCGCTTGATGATTGTGGACGTGGTGATGTCGCGCGAGCTGTCAATCACTCGGAAGATGCCCATCTCCTGCACTCGCACGGCACCCGCACCTCAGTGGCAGTCCAGGGCATCCCCGGCATGGGTGCCAAGCAGAGCGCCAGCCCTTGGAGCCGAGACGCAAGCCCTCTTCTCACCCAAATCCTCGACATCAACCCTGCATGTCGCTCGACAAGTCGCCCGTGGGAAGTCCATGCTCGTGCGCTCTAGCCAGCACGGGTGCGCGCACAGGGCGGCTCACCTTGGGTAGTGCATAGGGGTCGTCGTCGGCGGCCCGCTCGTTGGGCTCCGCGCGCGTGCCGTGCACGACCAGCGAGATGTTGAACGTCGTCAGCAGGTCTTGCGTGACGTCCCAGGGTGCGCCGATGACGACCTCGTCCACGTAGCGGCAGGCCAGCACGCTGAGGCTGCGCTCGTGCAGGTTCATGATCGGGTGGTGCGGCCCGCGGTGCGCGGTAATCACCGTGTCAGGGTGCAGCCCCACCAGCAGAAAGTCGCCCAGAGCGCGCGCCGCGCGCAGGATCTGCACGCACAGCCTGGCATGGTAGCACGTCCCAGCAGACAAACAGCGGCCACACACAACACCCCTGCCACGAACAGGGCCGCTTGGTCGCGCCAAGTGGCGCGTCCGTGATCCTTCCTATACAGTAAGAGCGGGCAGCACAAGCGACCAACAACTGACATGGACACACGGTATGATGGGAGTGCGATTGTCCGTCGACAGGCGGCGGATCGCACAGCTGTGGTTACTGACAGACGACCCCAAGCAGGGCAGGGTTCTTACTTCCACGTGGCCTGCATGGAACATGTCGAAGGCCCCGTCAATGTACACGATCTTGGCGTCGGGAGGCGGGCTCTGCAGGCACACCACCACGGAACACGCACGGGGTGTCAGCGCGAGGGCAGGAAGGCGGCGCAGCCCGGCCAGGAGCAGCCCCGCGAGGGAGGGGTGGACCAGGGACGGCTGCTGCTTCCCAGCATCTCTCCCGCCCTTGCTCTTGCAGCAATGCAGGCGGAAAAGCTCAGCGCGACCGGCCTACTGGTTGGCCACAGCACAGTCTGGTTGGAAGACTACTAAGGGTCGGACTGAGTCTCCTGGCAGGCTGCGGCGTACCTTGCCGTTGGAGAACTGGACAATGCGGCGCGAGGTGGGCAGGAAGTGCGACACGCGGGTCGTGTCGGACTCCCTGCCATGCTGGCTGAACTGGCGCTGCAGCGAGGGCACCGGACGCGGGCTGGCACGCGGGTCCCGCACACACAACAGCATACGCCCTGCACGCAGCAACAGCCACGGATAGGGCGGTCACATATGAACATTTCCGGGGTGCACCGTGCCTCAGGAACCAATTTTCGACCCTCAGGGACCGAAAATCGGTACTTTCATCCCCCAGGATTTTGACTCGATATTCTGGGGGACGGTGCGCCCCTCAGGGACGCCGGCAAACATACTAGGCGACGGTGGGCACTCACTACAGTCTGTCTCACCGTATAGTTTGAGAAGCTTTACGGGTTCGCACAAAGCGTCCCTGAGGGACATATCACCAAAGCCCATTCTCGGGGACCATGCGCTCCCTCAAGGAACACTCGCGACTTCCCCGAGGCCTCATATGACCGCCCTGAGAATCAGGGCCCACCACAAGGAGCCGCCAGACGGCCCGTGCCGGTCACAGAGGCGCCCTACTCCCCGGCTGTGCGTACAAATATGGGTAAAGCGGCAGACAAACAGAACCGATGGTGAGCCAACGGGGAAGGAAGCGCAATTGCCAGTGCAAAGGGGCGGGGCTGACCTACGATGTCGGTGGAGGAGACGCCCTCAGTGCGCTTGACCTGCTTGAAGCGGCCGGCCTTGCGCACCTCCGCGTAGGCGTCCGTACCATCGGGGAGGAGGCAGGGGTCGTCACCGTGGATGATGTAGTCGATCTTGTAGTCGTCGAACAGCGTGGCCATGAACGCCTTGTCAATGGCGTACGGCGCATCCACAATGATCTCGTCCACCCACTTGACCGCCTCCACCATCACCACCCTGCGCGCGCAGCCAACAACCCCGTAACTGTTCCGGACACGGCCTAAGAAGGGCCGCACCCTGGGGCCCTGCCATGCTTCACTCAAGCAGATTGCTTGTGTCCACAAGGAGCGTACCCATGCCCCCAAAACTTCCATCTTCGCCACTCTTCTGACTCTACCAGAGTGATGATGTGAGTGCTTCCAAGGCATGCTCTTCCAAGGCATGCTCCACTTAATAAGCATACAAAGGCTGCTACAGTGGTGGCAGTTCTCTTTAACATAACAATGACCTCAGACAGCAGCAATGACAGCTTGGCTGATTCAGATCTCTCATTCCTAGAACTTGTTGGTGGAGATTCCTCGGGAATGCCCCTTATCTTTACTTGCACCCGTCGAGCAGCTCTGCAGCCAAGCTGCGCCTGCTGCGGGCTCACCTCTCGTCGATGTTCATGACGGGCGGCCCCTTGTTCTTGCGGATCTCGTCGTCGCTGTTGATGCCCACCACGAGCTGGTCCCCCAGCGCGCGTGCCTGCCGCAGCGCATTCGCGTGCCCGTAGTGCATCATGTCAAAGCAGCCGTCCATGTAGATCCGCACTGGCCGCTTCTTGCTGCGCCCCGGCCCCAGCAATGCTGGCACGGGAAGCAGTCCCTCCAGCAGTGACAGCTGCGTCAATCCGACCACTGCAGCTGTGATGGCCAGGCCGCCCAACAGCAGGCGGGGCAAGACTGCCCACACGGCCAGCGCCTCCCCAGCGCTGCCATCCGGAGGAGAAGAACCCATCTGCGAATCCGGTGTTCACCACAGTGTTACTGGAGCTGTGTAACACTTATTGCCTTACGTACTTCTCTGCAGGCTGTTGCCTGGCCCTAGCGCCCAACGCACAAAGGCCTATCTGCATCTCCTATGGTTTGTTCAAGGATCAAGGTGTTGTACCGTACTTTGAAGATTGATTCTTTCGAACAACTTGTACACTGCCACTGGCAGGCGCCCATCGTCAGCCACCGCACGAACCAAGCGCGAGCTTCGAAGTGCGACCTACTAGAGGGTTATCGTGTGACTTTTCCACCCGACTGCGACTGGATTGGAGAATATTCTCCCTACACATCCGGAAGAGTGCCTGTCTACGTGACTGTGATCCAGAGTCGGTGGCAATTTTGATCCCTCTCCCTTGCAAATCAGCTTGCAATGTAGGACGTAGGATACCGTATGCACCATGGGACGTACCCTGGTCCCTGCATGGACATCGTATGCTCCCAGACCCACTGGCAGCAGTTCCAGCCGGAGGGGGCGGCGTGAGCCTGAGGCCTGAAGGCAGCTCGGAAGGTAGGGTGAATTGCTTGTGGGTTGGAGGAAAGCTTGATCAATGGCAGTCGTGCTGGCAAGGGCTGGCTGTTCTGCTCGCGCTCTGAGTGGGGGTTCGCGGCAAAGCCTTCAGGCCGATCAGAAGCTTGCAAGAGGTTCACAGATACTCCGCGCACGAACCCTCTTTGACACCAATCGGCCACATGGTTGTCAACCTGCCTTGCACCCTGGCTTCCTTCTACGTGCTCCATTGGTTCCACAGCGGGATCAGAATGCTGCGCGCTGGGTGGTGGCCAGAGGAGGCCGGCCGTCAGGGGGCCAAGCAGGAGTGGCCGACAAGCGGTCTGAGGCGGGGGAGGCTGCCAAGCCAGGGCTGGGCCCCTCGGAGCAGCACATCGGCCCAGCAGAGGAGGAGCCAAAGCTGCGGTGGGCAGCGGTGACGCAGTCTTTGGACAGCCTACCGGAGCGCTACAAGACGGTGCTCATGACGAGTCTGGCCTTCGTCATCTGCAACATGGACAAAGTGAGGCCCCCAGGGTTGCGGCCGCGCTCCCAGTGTGTCCATGGCTGCATTGGTGGGCAGGGGCAGAGGGGCTGTGGTGGTGGCAGGGGGGGCGTGCGTGTGTGACACGGGTGGCTGCGTGTGTGCATGCAGGTGAACATGAGCGTGGCCATCGTCCCCATGAGCCACCAGTACTCGTGGAGCGCCACCACTGCCGGCCTGGTGCAGAGCTCCTTCTTCTGGGGCTATGCGCTGAGCCAGATGCCGGGCGGCTGGCTCGCAGCGCGCCTCACGGGCAAGTGAGGCCCACACCAATGCCTCACCCGCGAATGCAGCTCAATCAGACGAGCAGCGGCCGATGCTCGCTATCTCTGTGTCTTTGTCATGGCCCAGTGGCCCATCTCCGTTGGCCCGTCACCATTCAGTGTGTGCCCCACAGCCATCATTGGGTTGCCCCTGGGCTCTGCTAGCCGGTGCGCCAGTTGTGCCGTGACGAGTGGGTGGGTGCGCTGGTGCAGGCGCGTGCTGGCGGGCGGGGTGTTTGTGTGGAGTCTGGCCACTGCGCTCGTGCCGCTCACCGTGGGCTTCCTCCCTGGCCTCTACCTCTGCCGCCTCCTCGTGAGCAGAACAGCTCAGAACATGCTTCAGGACATTTGCGGGGCTCCGCAAGCTGCGGGGTGCTTCCCTGACTGCTTTCGCTTGGTTACTACACTTGGAAAGCTGGGGATTGGTCAAGGCAAGAGTGAGACCTGTGAAGGATTTTGAACTCTCCTGAAAGGTTGCACTTTTGGGGGACTCGCCATTGCGCAATCAAACTTTCAAACGCAGACAACTCACCTCTCCCAGGCGGCTTCTGTGCTCTGGCCGCTGATATGCTGACTGCGGGGCGCGCTGCAGGTTGGCCTGGGGGAGGGGGTGTCGCCACCGGCTGCAACGGACCTGGTGGCCAAGACGGTGCCCCCAGGGGAGAGGGCCCGCGCAGTGGCTACCGTGTTTGGTGGCCTCAACGTGGGTAGCGTTGCTGGGTGAGGCCACATTGTCGGGGGAAGGCCCCTCCAGTGAGAAGGGGGATGGCCCCTGCTGTAGCGGCGTGTTCTCTGCCCAAATCATTCTTGTGGGAGTCACAGGCTGGCAGATCCTTCGCGACGCCACAATGTCTTACTACGGCTGCCTGTGGGCTGCAAATGAGTGCAAACGGCGATCAGCAAAGAGGGCTTGAAGAGCAGCTCGGGTAGCCTGCAGAAACCTCTTAGCAACGTGACCAGCCGCTGTTCCTCATTACCAAGCGGCCCCCTTCCTCCGTGCAGGCTCCTGGTGGCCCCCGCCCTGATTGAGTCGCTGGGCTGGGAGTCGGTGTTTTACCTCTTCGGCGCGGCAGGCATTGTCTGGTGCTACGCCTTTAACAAACAGCAGCCCGTGCTGCCTGCCGACCCCATCTCTGCATCCGAATCAGGTGCGCACTGCCTGCTTGGCAAGGGGCAGTTGAGAGGCGAAGGATGCGAGCGGCTGCGGCCTCTTCTTTTTCTGTGGGCATATCTTATCGTGACACCTTGTGGCAACAAGACTAGGCTCTGACGTCCGTCGAGTGTGGGCTTCGCTGACGAGCAGAAGTGGCGCTGGTGCAGGCAAATCCGACAACGGCGTGCGCGGGTCTTTACGCAGCCTGCGGCGACGCGTGGCCGCTCTTGGGGAGGCGACCGCAGCGGAGATCGAGCGGGAGCGGCAGGAGCTGGAGGCCAGCACCAGCGGCAGCGACTCCGACTCCGACAAAGACAGCCACGCGCAGCATGGGGCCGCTGGCCACGGGGGGGCCTCGTTCACCAGCCCCGATGGGAAGGTGGGGCCTCCACAACACGAAACCCGACAGGTCCACAGGGCACCGACCACCCAGGGCTTGCCCGTGGTTCCGCCTTGTCTTCTGTACCTGGAGCACAGGGAAGGAAGACAGCAGTCGCATTCAAAGTGCCAATCATTGTGTTGACTTATGCCGGTGGAATTTCAGACCCCTCTCCACCGCTATATTGGGTCACTGGGCGGGCTGCCCACCTGTCAAGTCGTTCATGCGGAGTCGATTTACACGAAAGTTGCTCTCTGTTGGAACGGGTTCTTAGCCCGGTCACGTTTGGAGCAGATACGCCGTTTGGATCCGAGGGTACTTACTTTCCCGCCTACGTCTTCTCATACCCTTCTATTACCCCTTTTTATTAGAAAAATAGGATTAGTATCAATCGTCCTCTTGCTCGCAGGCCTGGCCGTGGCAGGCTAGTTTGACAGCCTGCTTGCCGCCACTGAGCCTTTCCACTCGTTAGTCGGTCCTCCCCTTAGACGGCTCTCTGTTTGTTGAGGGGCGCAGCTCTTCCGCCGTCTCAGTGGCCCCTCCTTGGCGACCGTGTGTGTCCTGCTGCACCCAGCGGGTAGCGTGCCACGCACCGCTTGCCCGTCCCCGGCTGCACGAGCCTGGCTGTCGCTGCGCACTGGCACTGATCGCGCGCATCCTTGGGTGGTTGCAGGCCGTGCCGTGGCGCGCCTTCTTTGCGCGCCCCCCGCTGTGGTCCATGATGTACGTGCACTTCGCCGGCAACTGGGGCCACTTCACGCTGCTCGCGTGGCTGCCCACCTACTTCAGCGAGGTCCTCCACCTCGACCTCACGCACGCAGCCCTCGTGAGCGCACGCCCCCCCCTCGCGACCCCCACGCTGTGCCGCCACACTGTGCGTGCTGCAGTCATTGCTGGGGCAGTCATTGGCCCCCAACTTGTGGCCCCCGTTGGCGCGCGTGCCTCACGTGTGGTGCTGCTGCTGCGTGCGCGCAGGTGTCTATTTTGCCGCCCCTCGCCTCCGTGGTCATGTCCAGCGTGGCGGCCCCCTGGGCGGACGGCCTCATCGCCGCCGGCACGCCGGTCACGCAGGTCCGCCCTGCAGTCCCAACTCTGGCCTACCTCTCGCACCAAGCGCTGCGGGGCTCAAGCCCTCACTGTGTATCGAGGCGTCGCCATGCGTTGATGCCCGATGCCTGGACTTCGAAGGCCCCCTTGCAATGCGGTCGCTCCGGTCGCTCTGACTCTCTCCTCCCCTTGACGTGCAGGTCCGCAAGCTGTGCCAGACGATCGCCTTCCTGGGCCCTGCCACGTGCATGCTGACCACGTCGCTGAACCCGGGCCTGCCCTCGTGGGCGGTCATTGCGGTGCTGACGGCGGGCCTGTCCCTCGGCAGCTTTGCGCTCTCGGGCCTGTACTGCACGCACCAGGACATCTCGCCCAAGTACGCCTCCGTCCTCCTGGTGAGCCTCCCGCACGCCGCGCGCCTTGCCCCCTGCCGGCCTGGCTCTGCGGCCCGTCGAAGAACAAACGCATGTCACTGCGTGGAGGCTGATCAGGGGAGGCTGACTGCGTCGTTTCTTTGGGGTGGTTTTGCAGGGCATCACCAACACGGTGGGCGCAGTCCCGGGCATTGTCGGGGTGGCGCTCACCGGCATCATCTTTGATCAGACCGACTCGTGGAAGGTAAGACGGGGGACCCGCGACGGATGCAGGGCGGGTCAGCTCGCGCGAGTGCAGCGATCAGGAGGACCTCTCCTCAAGTGCCGCTTGAGCTCAGCAATGCTCCCCTCCCGCTTCTTCGTTCTGCCGATCAGAAGAGCATATCTGATCGTGCTTCTCTCTCTTGCTCCGCAGTTGGCTCTCTTCTTTCCCTCCATTTTCTTCCAACTAACCGGAGCCCTGGTGTGGAACATATGGTTCTCCGCCGAAACCCAGGATTTCGATGCAATAGCAGAACAAGCGAAGTAGGACGGAGCGGTTCTCCTTGAATGAGTTGACCTGAACTATCCAGCATGCTCACGGTACCTGATTGCAGTCTCTGGTCGTCGTTGTGTAAATAGTAAAGATATGGAGCTTTTACGTTCAAGTTCGAGTTGGTAAATTGGCCCTTGCCTGGGGGCCCTGATTTAATTTCGGGTTGTGGAGCATTGCCTGTCCAAATGTTTCTTCCCTTTTGAACGAGGACTATCAACTCGTTTGAAAATACTAGGTAGCGCTCGGAAACAGTAACAGATGTTTTGTCACACAACCTGTCAGTGACTGATCGGTCGGTTTAGAATTGACCTCAATAGCATTTCTGGTTGCGGTCAATGATTGAAACACAAGATGGAAGCGTGCTACATATATACCATGTGGTCCGCACTACGTGTGCGACAAAAGTAAACCGAGGCTGAACGTGACTCGTGGTCTGATACGTTTGATCGGTCTAAATTAATTACGCCCCTTGCATCCATGATCGATCATGTCTGGCGCTTATACGGTAATGATCTCCGACCGTGCACAGTGACAAGCCAGCTGAAGCACCTAGTGGCAGGCAACGCCTTGAAATCGTCAAAAGATAGCCATCTTGCATGGTCGCATGCAGCATGATTCGGCACGTACGTTCCTAGCTATAGCATGCCACTGTTTAAGAATATTTGTTCGCAGATTAGTATGCATGCATGCGGCCGCAGCACATGATGATCTCCATGCATACACATGCAAGAATTTGAATGGAATCAGCCAGCCCAACCATATACACGCGGATGCATATGGCGAACTTGCCGATAGTGGCTCAGGCCGGGCCTGTTTCTTTCAAAATGAACAGACCCATGACGGTGCACGCTAGTCAACGAACTCACAATTCAATCTCATCGAAAACGACCTGGCACGTGATCGATACACCCTATGAATGATCAGCCAAGTCTCTTGCCCACCGTCTGAATGGACTTTCAAAACTTTACAAGCATACCCATGACCGTCCAACTAGGCTCACTATCATATAATTGCTCGGAAACCTCTCAGATCTAAATTGCCTCTCCAAAGATCGAAACATCTAAGTTGTGCGAGCACAATTTACTGACTTCAACTAGCTAGCTAGTAAGGTCGAACGTCCTTTCAAGCTTTCGAGGAAGGGACAGTTGTGAGCCCTCCTCGGACGGCCGGTTGTCCCCCTTGCAGCTCATCTCCACATCCATACACATGCAACCCAACCTTCTATCTACCTTTTCTAGGCTCTCTCCCCTAATACTAAGAAGCAAAATTTTTCTTTAATATCCAACAGACTGTCAACTTTCCCGTAACTGCTGCAGCTTTACTTACGCATACATACCTTTTGTACAGGTCGTGATAGGTTGCAAGTGTTGGTCAACACGACACCCTCTCACAAGCAACCCACGCTGCTTATAGCATCCAACGACCCGGTCAAGAATCTACGGCAAACCGATTTACTCGATGCCTGTGGATGGCACTAAATTTTGATTGCAACCGTTGGATCCAACGCCGGTTCCCCTCGTTCTTAACTTGGGCAACTCGTCCTCTCCTAAACGGAGGAGTCTCTCTTGTCGCTGGTGTAAGTATCGTCAACCGAGGGAACATTCTTCCGGCGCGAATGCCACGCGCGCAGCTTCTCCTTGTCGACCACCGGGGCACCTAGAAGAGAAATCACACGTGATCTCAACGAGAATATCAGGCGGAGAACCAAGTCGACCCAAGCCATCGTACAACAAACCCGTGCATTACAAAGGAAAGGCTAAACTGCCAAGCCGCTATTTAATTCGACCTTTCCGAAGCACGAACTCCATAACGTTCACTTAACAAACGCAAACAACAAATGAAGTGCATCTACAAGAGACATCTTCCTGAGGATCCGTCAAGCAAGCTGTCTGCAATAAGCTTGGGGAAGGACGTCCCAAACAGACATAACGAGCCGGAACAAGCTTACGAGTGCTGGCACTCCAGCAGAACTCACCGACAGGCATAAAGTGGACGGTTGCTGCGCGATTGATCAGAACAGCAGCACTGCAAGAGAAGCAGATCAAATCACTACCGATAGTTGGCCTCATTCGTACATTTGCCTTCTTCCTTTCCTTTCAATCTATCTAGTCCACATGACCCGAAAGCACTGAGAATATCCTGCTAAAATTAAACCAAAGCAAATGGCACGAAAGATGATTCTGATTTGCAGGCTTGATATCGTTTACTCCCTGCCAAGGTTCAAAGTGTGCCATATACTGTCTGAACACATTGGTGATTAAGCATGATGCATATGCTGTTCGATAGGCCCGCTTTGAGGTATAAAGGAGAGACTGGCAAGCCCGTGCAGCAATGGTAAGTGCCTGACCTGTTGTACCAGGCACACACTGCGGTGACTACGCCAAAGTAGCCACCCACTGCGGTCCAGCCCACGCCCGCGGTATTGTCCTTGAAGAAGCCTGCATAACGAGCAAAACAAACGCATGGGCGAAAGTAACTTCAACCCTTCACTGGACTGTGGAACCTCCTAAGCAAATGCTCAGAGCAGAGGGAGTTACTTGCTCCTGGATCCATGCAATCCTCTACACAAGCTCAATGCTTCACTGACAGTCCGACAATGCTTCCTGGTATGGCTACTTCGATACGGTTGGAACAGAATTCAGCTCAGCAGCTGAGGTTGAAAATCTGATGCTGGCATTGCCATGGTCTAAGTGCCCAGCCGGGTATGCTCACCCACGAAGAGCAGGAGCAGCGTGACCTCCAGGGTGACAAACACTGCCAGCGTGGCCTTGGCCAAAAACAAGCTGCCCAGCATGGCGTATGTGTTCTGCAAACCCACCAGCACCAAGCCAGCGTTAAGGTCAGCCTGTCATGGATGTGCTACTAGATCGAGCCGCCCACCCAAGGCTTTATTCCAGGTGAGGCACACAGCACAGGACAGAAAACACTCTCATCTGAATACAGTCGAACGAGAACGCAGACCCCCATAGAGCAGCGGCACTCCGTATGCATGGAACCCCTGCTAGCTGGACGCTCTGGGGTGACGAGATGAAGCATGCGTGAGAAGAGGGGTGAGGGGCTTACAAAAATGAAGAAGGCCACCAGGAACCAGCCCAGGCCTTCGCTGACGTCGAGGGAGGCAGGAAAGACGCCCAGCTCAACGAAAAGGATGAAGGACGCCAGGGAGAACCAAAAGGCACCATATGTGCTGAAGGCGGTGGCGCCAAACGTGTTGTTGTTGCGGAAGTCCCACATGCCTGCGTGCAGCGCATCAGAGTGGGGGTGAGTCGCAAAATACCACGGCACACTGGGGCTGTCAGCAGGGGGAGGCCACACCAACTCAAGCTTCCGACCTTGACTTGGCAGCACCAACGGAAGCCCCATGATGGCTGTCAGGACCTTCCATGAGGAGAGCCGTCCCTGGGTCATACCTGCCAGCAGTTGAGCAAGGCCACCGTAGAAGAGAGCGAGCCCCACCCAAGCCAGGTCCGGCGCCCAGCCTGCATTGTGTGCGCTGCAAACAAACCAGCAAGTGCTGTGAGATGGCTTCCACCTCGACAGCCGCCTGCCTGCCAGTGGGGTCAACCTGTTTGCATGAGGTGCATTCATAGGAGGCAGGCAAAACCATCGACCCTGCAACCCTGCAACTCGACTTGCAACAACATTCAGACGTAGCGTCTGAGCTCTGCATGCGGTGTACCAAGGAAGAGCCAGGCTGCGCAGCCTACCTGAGGACAAAGGTGGTGGCTGCAAAGGCAGCCAGGCCCAGTGCTGCAGGGTCTGCGAGGTCGCTCCTGCGGTGGTCCACATCATCAGCTGCAGCGCGAGCAGAGCTGGCTGCCGGCATGCCCGCAGCCCCCACGGCAGGGCGCGCATCCACACTGTACATGCTGCTCTCCACCGTTTGAGAGGAGCCGTAAGGGGCCCTGGCCCGCGGGTCAGGGGTGGCAGAAGCAATGGGAACGGAGTTCATGGTAGCTGGTTTCGTCACCAAGCCGCTCCGCGATCTGGGTTGTTGATGGACTGCTGCTGTACGGTAAGGCAATAGGAACCAAAGCTAATAGGCACCAAGGACAACCACCTCATATCAGTTGGCGGTTTTCCTGGGAGCAGATGCACCGACACAGTCGGCAACTCCGGTAAGGACTAGCGAAAAGCTGCAAACCACGCGGCCTGGCCACAGCCTCTCCAGGATCCCGAGTTCAGACGCAATCCTCACTACGTACAGCAACATATTTTCTAGCTGCTGGACGGAACGTAGGTATCTAGCGGCGATTCTAGCCTGCGAAACGTGAGTGACTGCTTGCTGGCAGCAGCAGCTGGCTGCGCTGCATGATGGATCACTCACGTTGAGAAAAGGTATAGCCTTACCTATATAGGTACTGTAGAATCTGAGGATGAGGTGAACAGGATAAGGCGGTGACGCAATTTTGATGTCATATCAGGGGAAAGAGTCCGCCAAGTGGCTTGCCATCTCACATGAAAGACCATGTGATCAAGAACCCTCCAATATTTTGCCACTTGGTCATGATTCTGCTGTCAGGGACTTCGTGAACATTGTGCCTTTCTCCTGGGAACTCTTACCGTCCGATCTAAGATGTATCGATCTAGACATACACGGTAGTGTAGTCTAATCGAACGTGAACCGTCGATTCTTTACTCTGAGACGGTCTGGCACAGCGATGCCGATTCTCTAACC